TTTCCTGTCTAGACTGCTAAGGACTTGCCTGGTTTTAGTACTGAAAGGCCCAAGTCTATAGAACCTGAACACACAGCACAAAGCAAAGCCTTCAGATAATCTGTAGGCCATGGATGAGAGAGTAAAGAACTTTGGTTACCCCTTATAAATGAATCTTTAAGGTTTCTTCAGATTAGCCTGAGATTCTCAGTATCTCTCATCTTTAACCCAAGATTTCTCATTGTATTCATCCCTGTGCCTACTGTTCCAAATCCCTACTCCAAATACCTAATATTCCCAGACATTCAAGTAGGTAAAATAGCATAGTATTTGTATGTAATCTGCATGCATCATTCCATATATTTAACTTATATTCTAGATCACTCCTATTAACTGATATGATATAAATTCTGTATATGTAGTTATATTTTAAAGCAGCATGACAACAAAAATCTGTACATGTTCAGTACAGTAGGTACAATATTTATCAGCATATTTTTGATCTACTCTTGATGGAGGTCAGGACTGCTACATAGGTCTTGAAGGCTGTATTTTTCTGGTCATTGTATTAAAATTTTTTATCATCTTGGTAGTAGAATGCTTTGAATGCTTGAAAAATTATTTTAAAAAGATGCTCATCCAAAAGAGAAGAGCAGCTGAAATGCTTCTGTAAAGAACCGAGTAGGAAGGAAGAAAAACAATTTTAGTCTATACTAAGCAATCTTCACTGACATGCTGCTGGATCTGTTCCTTTGTTTCATAAACTGTGCATAATTATGGTATGCAAAAACCTTCATATATTCTTGTTATGAAGGATTTAAAAATATCTGCTCCACATTTTTAAAATAAGTTTCTCACGTACAGTAATTATCTCACATAAAATGTGCACAGCTTAAGATAATCAATTTAAATTTAGACTGTCTTCCTTAGGGTTGACTTTAACAGCACTACAGTGTTGCCTCAGGATATTTTCTACTAGGGAAAGATAGAATTCTGATTGTTGGAAGTTCGTTGGGGCTACATAGGTGCTTGACTTCACAGAACATTTTGGAGGAAGTATAAGAGAAGATACTTCAGAACTGTGAGACACTGTTCCCACATTTGCACACAGTTGGTTATTGAAATAAATCTCTAAGCTCTGCAGAAAGCAGCAGGCTTCTGCCAGAAATGAAAAGTCACAGCACAATATATGATGAGATGAAACACAGATCGCTCTGTAGGAGCCAGATGTAGTGGCACACATCTGCAGTGCTGGCTCTCAGGAAGTTGAGGCATGTGAATCAAAAGACCAGAGCCATCTTGGGCTGTAGGGTCAGGTAGCTACATGGTTTGACCTAGTCTCAAAATATTAAGGGTGGGGAGGGAGCTCAGTGGGAGAGTGCTTGCTTAACACGCTCGTGACCCTGGTTCAATTCCCAAAAGTTCAAAAGTCATAAGACCTAGGTGCACATTCCCAGATCAATCCCAGATACTTGGTAGGTTGAGTCAAGAGGACTGTAAATTCTGGATCGGTCAGACAGTTTAGATAAGCCTGGCTGTTAGTGGGATTGTGTGTGAAAATGCAAAGTAAAGTGGTGGAAGCATATGCTTGGAATCTCCAGAACAGATTTTTCCTTTCTTTTTAGTTTTTTTTTGAATGCAGTGCTGAATGCCTGTCTTCCTTCCATTAAGAGGTTTAGGAAGGAAGAACACAAATTCAAGGTCAGGTTGAGCTCTACAGTGAGACAGTCTCAAGAAAACAAGAGAAAACAAAAAACTAGGCAATACAGGACAGCAAATCCCTATAACCCAAGGAATTAAAAAGTGAAGGCAGGAGGATTAGGAATTCGAGGGTGGGTTTGACTACATTCTAAGTTCTAGACCACACAGGGCTACGTAAAACACTGTATCAAAAAAACCAAACCAACCAACCAAACAAACAAACAAATTCATAAAATATCCTAAACACACATGCAAATGCCCATAAATAAATATAAAAAAAATAAAGATTACTGTATCTGAGGTATAGTCAGTGGTAGAGCACTTTGCCTAGTATGTGTGAGGTCCTGAGTTTGGTCTTCAGCACCAAAATCATACAATACCAATGCTAAGTATTATAATATTAAATCACATCCAACCAAAAAGTTTTTTGACACATTATTTCTAAAAAAAGACTACTATATTAATTTACAAAGTATGCACATCAATTAAAAAGTTCTGTAAACCCTAATAAAATAGGTAAATAATTTAGTCTAGTAATATATAAGTATGGAGTAATCAGTTCTACTCATAAGGAACAGAAAATCAAAGGGAGAGGTTGCGAGCTTTTACCTTATCAGATTGGTAAAAGTTTTAAAAGAATACAAAATGCTGGCAATTGTATAAGAACACAAGCCTTCTTATATACTATTTTGGAGATTCAAACTGGTGCTATTTTTGTTGTGAGCAGTTTAGAAATATTTACCAAAGTTTAAAATGCACTTCTAACCTGAAGCAGGGGGATCACGAGTCTAAGGCAAGCCTGGGCTACATAGTGAGTCTCAGACTACTTATTTAGATACAGAGAACCTTTCTCAAAACAAAACAAGTCAAGAAAAACATGTTTCTTTGACTTATCACTTCTACTGCAACAAACTGAATCTAGGAATCAACTCAAGACACACCTAGATGGCTAGGGATGTGGCTCACTAGCAGAGCACTTCCCTTTCCTTGCAAACATAAGGTCCTGTGCACTGAAAAGAAATATCTTCATGGAAATCAGATAACTGAAATTTAATTTTTCAATGTAAAGAAATAAAAATAGTTTAGCTACATGTTGAGAGATGACTGGAAATGGAGTCATGGCATATTTATAATACAGAATTATATGATTATTTAAGGATGACAATGTTCACAGGGATATCAGTAAGAAATATTAAGAGAGAGAGAAAGGGGGCAGAATGAAAGATGATGCCTATATACATTTGAAATATTGAGTGCTGGTTAGGGCATGCACTATTAGACACATATGCATGTAGGTGATTTTATGAAATAATACATAAGAAAATAAGAAGTGATTCCACTGGGGAGATGAACTGGGTAGAGATCAAGGGTTATGTGGAATAGGGCAATTTTTATGCTTTTCTGAACTCCTGTTAAGTTATAATCATGCTCCTTGATTTTTCCTTCTCTGCATGCCTTCTCTCTTTATTTTTCTCCCTTCCTTCTGTTTTTTTTTCCTCCTATGCAACATGCATTATAGAGCCCAGGGCCCTTTCTGTGCTAGCAAGTGCACCAAGCAACAAATTCAGCCATATTTTTCTTGGCAATATTTATTAATCATGAAGTAAAGTTGATCTTCCAAGAGCATGAAATAGTAGGAAATCTCAAACAGTCAAGCCTCCCTTTATTTTTGGTCTTGTCCAGTACTAATGACAGAATGTTCACATTGATTTGACCCATATTAACTATGGTATGTGGTTCTATTTCTATGGAATATTTTCTAGTTGTCATTTTTAGATTGAAATACATATCTGAAATAATGTGAGAAGATTTTCTAACTGACATTTTCCTCTCAATCTAAAGTGAGGCACAGCAGCCAGCATCCATCCAGCTTTATTCAGCTCAGTAGAGTCCCTTTGTCTATTCACTAGACTCACGGTCAGAGCTGATGATATTTACATACTGTAAGAATAGATGATGAAGAAATAGAAGAGAGATGGAAACATAAAATCACCTTTATTGTTATACTACTAGGCAGTCTTAAAGGCAGAGGCTGAAACTGCTTCTTTAGAAGACCCTTCTGCCATCTGCCTATTTGTCCTAACCGTCTCCCTGCTCATCAGAACCTATCTCTACACTCCGTAGTTTTCTCCCAGGCCCTTCTTACATGCACTCCAATCCTCACATTGATTCATAGACACTTTCCTGATTTCTGTCTACTGCTAAACACATTGTTCTATACCAAGTCCTGTTCTTTTATTTCATTTATCTACTTTTAGACCCATACAATCCAGCATTTACATCATTGTTAACATATTTTTGTGAATACATTGCATGTTTGAGTGCTAAGCGTTTGGTAGAACTTGGGTCTATTAGTTATAACTTTGTTGCTTATAATTAAATTTGATCTATGTAATACACAGCATATCTGTTGTAAGTGTTTTTAGTTGGGACGGCTAGAGTGGTACAAAGCTATTTCAAATGTCTCAGGTGAGCACTGGTATAGTTTGTCATTTATTACTTTGTTAGCATTAGAATTTACCTTAGAATGGAAAGTTGAAACTACTTGGGAAAAGAATAAAATGTGCAACTATGACAGGAGGCAATTGTACTGTGAGAAAGGGACCAGAAAGGTAAATATGACCTTTAAAACAATTTTTGAGTCTTCTGGTGTGGGAGGTCCTTCTGTATAGGTGTTGCTATTACTGGTTAATGAATTAAAAAGCTGTTTTGGCCAGTGGCTTAACAGAATAGAGCTAGGCTGGGAAAACTAGACAATGCTGGGAGAAAGAAAGTGGAGTAAAAGGAGAAGCCATGTATCCATGCCAGAGACAGATACCTAAACTTTACCCAGTAAGCCACAGCCTTGTGGCAATACACAGATTAATGGAGATGGTTAGTTTAGGATATGAGTTGGCCAGGAATACATTTAAGCTATTGTCCAAACAGTATTGTAATCAATATGGTTTCTGTTTGATTATTTTGGGACTGAGCAGCTTGGAACAAAGTGACTTCCTACTACATTCTCCCACCTTGAAAATGATACAAAAAGTCACATAAGATTTACCTCAGTACTAACACTTTAAGGATTAGCTCCATTCAGTATTCATTAAAACAAAAGCACTGTAGATGGAGGTTATCACCACCTCCACAATCAGCTTTATATTCATGAGGTCTTCTCTATTACAAAAACAGGTTGTGAATTCACCAGTCACTAAAATCTGTATGCATTCAAAATTGCAGGCAATGAAGTCTAACACAGACACTCAGGCCTGTTCTTCCACTTATAAGCGTTAGGGGTCATCATCCATCATATTGGGGTTTAGCAGAGTTTCACTTACGTCATGTAGGTGAAAAATGTGCTCAGGGGCTCCAATGAATGATTCCGGAAATAGTCAAACTCTCTGCAGAGCTTTTTCCTCATCTCTGTGTCAATTTTGGAAACAGTGAGAGGGTTTGTTTCATTAGCCAGGAAGTTGCCATACTCAGTGGTCTGGAGATGAATTTTCAGATCTGAAATGTAAAGAACCCCCAAGTCAAGTTAAACTTGAAGAGGTATTTGTGGTAACTTTAAGATGAAGACATATTGATTATCTTCTTAGATTTTTACATGTATATATAATTAGACTACAGTGCTGATCTCTAAAGAAATGAAAAAGTCACTGTAAATATTGATATTGTAACATACCATAAGAATTTCAAATTACCCAAGAAATGGTATTATTTCACACAGCTAAAAACAAGCAAGTAAGCAAGCAAGCAAGCAAACACAAAAAACCTAGACCAGAGCCATTAATTTTAAATGTCAGTTAAAAGGATCTGGAATCAATTGAGAGACAATCCTCTGAGCTGATGATTTCCAAGTTTTTCAATGGGACAAGGCTCTTCCCCACCCTAAGTTTCACCTTCTGGTAGAGACCCAGATACACAGAGGTTAGAAGAAAAGTGTCCTTTGCTTGGCAGCCTTCACTTTATGCTGGTGATGTGTGTCTACTCTGTTGCTGCTGTTGGCCACCAGTGCTATCATCCTGTCAACTCAGGACCAGGGGACTCTCCAGGAATATTTTAGACCTTCACCACCACATTGGGACTGCTATGCCATCCAGCTTCATGGTCCAAACAGCGACAGGGTTGTCAACCTTTCCATTATGCAGAGGCCTACCCAGACTTATGGGTTGTAATGTAAGTCATTCTAGTGAAGTACCCATTACAATATTCACTCATTCTTTTAGTTCTGTTCCTATATAGAACTCTCAATAATACAGATGGCTTTACATTGGCCAATTTTAACCTTTAGTAAATAGCTTGAGAAATCTGAGAATGCTAAAGCTTTGTACAACTTGAGTAAGAGACCAGTGACAGCTGACATAGATATGGGGTGGGATGGGCAGCCTCTGTAGCTCAATTTTAGTATCCTTTAATTACAGATGAAGAAGCTGAAGTCCAGAGGTACTTATATGGAGGTTGTCTTGAAACTAGAAGACGTTTTACTCAAAGAATCAAGCATCACCACTACATCATTCATTCTTTAAATGTCAATGATTTGTATTGCAGAGAATTGACCTCAATTCCAGCTTCATTTTATTGTCTTTTCTTCTTCGAAAGGCCATGGCCATACTTTTGTTACTGTTGATTCCACCCCACTCTCTAGAATCATGTAAGTACATTGGGATTCAAAGCCATATTTAATTGACTAAAACGTCATTTAAAAGTTATAATTTGGGGCTGGAGAGATGGCTCAGAGGTTAAGAGCATTGCCTGCTCTTCCAAAGGTCCTGAGTTCAATTCCCAGCAACTACATGGTGGCTCACAACCATCTGTAATTGGGTCTGATGCCCTCTTCTGGCCTTCGAGCATACACACAGACAGAATATTGTATACATAATTTTAAAAAAAGCTATAATTTGCTGTGATCAATGCAATCATTATCATATACTCTGTAAAGCCTCGAGGAAGAGAGAAGGGTTTAGAGTTGATACAGTCAGGTTATGGCAAGGGTGAAATAAAGCAATAGGTCTGATTTAATCACCAGTTTTTTAAAAAAGGCAAGTGTAGTATATAGAAACTACTTCAAAATGTTAATTTCTTCTAATCTACTCCCTAAACAGTTTGATTGTCTAAGAACTTTGACTTTTATTCTCTAAATGGGGAATTTCCCAACTGATGTATTCAGTTCCATTATTAGGTTTAATAATTATCTAGATTTTAATACATATATTAAATTGTTATGTTGTGTTATGTTCAATATGGAATATCCCCTGCAGATTCTTGGGTTTGGTAGCACTGTTTGGGATTGTAGAACCTTTGGTGTGGGGACACACACAGATGTGTGCCTGTTCAACCCCGACTGGAGGTCAGAGAGTTTGAGCTTATTTTGCTCTTTTAAAGTTGTTGCCAACAAATGTGACTACACACCCTGACCTAGGATGTGGTTACTTAGTGTTTTGAACATTAAGATGTCCCATAGGGGTGAATCTGGTCCACCCTGACCAAAGGTCAGAGAGTTCAAGCCCATTTCTGTTCCTTCTTTTAAAATGAGAGGTTTGACATACAGAATGGCTGCCTATGGGATACTTGGTCTGGGATGTGTTCACTACACATTCCTGCTCAAAACATCAAGTGCTTTACTCAGGAAATAATTTTTTGATGTCTCAAGTACTGAAGAAAGTAACAGTACTGGTTGTCCTTTCTGTCATGTTAAAGCAGTCTTTTGCCTTCTCCCCCACTTTGTATTAGAATATAAAAGCGTATAACAAGTAAATGTGGGTGAATTCAGTATCCAGAATCCACTGAGTTGCCCTCCCTGTGCCATCTATCCTATGTCTCTGTGTTTCTTCCTTATCTCTGTTCCGTCCACCTAACATTTGTACTCCACATGCCCCCTACCCTGAAGCATACAAGCCTGCTGTGGCTGGACCATGGCAGAAGTCACCTCAAAAAGGTGTCTCTTGACACGTTGGGTCATAGAATCTAAGCCCATTGGGTAAAGTTCAGTAAAATTACAAACCTTTCTCTGCTTCTAATACTAAAAATGGGAACAGACCACAGACTGACTCACTGTGTCTTCAGTGACATAGTTCCTTAAACTATAAGACACACTAAGACATTCTTTCCTTAAGTTGCATAAGTCAGATATTTTTCACAATTATGAGAAAATTAATTAATATAAAACAAGGCACTTCATCTATTTTGCTAACTTAATATTATTCATATAATATTAAAACTGCATAATTCTCTTCAGTGCTTTAGTATATCAAATCTTCTTTCTCTTCCCCCCTCTTTCCCTTCCTCCCTTCCCTTCCTGTCTTTCCTCTCTTCCCCCTCTCTTCCTTCTCCTCCTCCCGGTTCCTCTTCCTCTCTCTCTCCAATTCTCCCTCTTTTGCTTCTTCCTCCCTTCCTTTCTATGGTCTTGGGGGTTTTCACATGTAGGTAAGCTAGCTTTGAACTCAACAGCCTTCCGCCTCAGCCTCCCACCTATTGGAATTATAGGCATCTGTTTCTTTACTAAAATTTCCCTCCTACCTTTTCTTGGTTTGCATGATCATCTGACACAGATTCTTTTGCCAATCCATTAATTGATTTTCCTAGTCTCTTTGCTGTTTATGAACTTCTGTCATAAAATTTATCCTTTTCTAAGAACTGTTTTAACATTGTCCTGCTCTTATAAGTGGCGTGTAATAGTCACTTGCTTCTCTGAGTAATTTAAAACAAGACTTAGAAGCCTCAGCAAGGGACCTCTGCTGAAGCATGTCCAAGCCAGTGACCTCCTCCAGAGCAGGCCTGAGTCAGTGACCTCTGCCAGAGCAGGCTTGAGTCAGGGACCTCCAGGGGACCGAGCCCAAACCAAGGACTTCCACAGGAACAGGTCTGAGCAAGCAACCTCCATTGGAGCAGGCCCAAGCCAGTGACTTCCACTGGAGCAGGCATGAGTCAGCAACCTCTGCAGGAGAAGGAACAGGTAAGAGGGAGTGACCATGAAGGGAGCAGGGCTGAGCCAGAGACATCTGTGGAACTGGACCTAAGCCAAGGGCCTCTGCGGGAGTAAGCCTGAGCCAGGGACATCTGCAGGAACAGGCCCAAGTCAGCAACCTCCACAGGGCAGGTACAAGGGAGTGACTCCCAAACAAGCAGGCTGAATCAGAGATTTCTGTGGTACCAGGCCTGAGGCAGCTACCTCTTTGGGAGAAGGCTTGAGCCAGCTACCTCTGTGGTACCAGGTCTGAGCCAGCTACCTCTGTGGTAGCAGGCTTGAGCTAGCAGCCTCTGTGGGAGCAGGTCTGAGAAAGCAACCTCTGCAGGAACATGTGTGAGAGAGCAACCACCAGAGGAGCAGGCTCAAATCAGATACCTCTATGGGACCAGGACAAAGTCAGGGATCTTCACAGAGACAGGCCCAAGCCAAAGACATCTGTGGGAACAAGCCCAAGCCAGCAACCTCTGCCAGAGCAGAGCCCAAGCAAGTGACCTCTGTGAACTCAACTCACCTATAAAAAGATACAGGTAACAGATTAGATATTGAAACAGAATCCATCCTACTGCTGCATATAAGAAACATACCTCAACCTCAAAGACAAACATTGTCTCAGAGTAAAAGGTTGGGAAAAAATTGTTCAATCAAATTAATCTAAGAAACAAGCTGGTGTAGCTATCCCATTATTTAACAAAATAGACTTCAAACCAAAATCAATCAAAAGAGACAAAGAAAGACATTTCATATTAGTTACAGGAAAAATCCATCAAAAGAAAATCTCAATACTGAACATCTATGCCCCAAATAGAAGGGTACCATCATATCTAAAAGAAACACTACAAAAAAAAAAAAAAAGCTGGGCAGTGGTGGTGCACACCTTTAATCCCAGCACTCGGGAGGCAGAGGCAGGCGGATCTCTATGAATTCAAGACCAGCCTGGTCTACAAGAACTAGTTCCAGGACAGATTCCAAAACCATAGAGAAACCCTGTCTCAAAAAACAAAAACAAAAAGAAAAAACAAACAAACAAACAAACAAAAAGAAACACTACTAAAGCTTAAATCATACATTAAACCCCACACAGTAATAGTGGGAGACTTCAGCACCCTACTTTCACCACTTGACAGGTTTGTAAGACATAAAATTAACAGAGAAATAAGAGAACTAACAGATGCTATGACTCAAATGGACTTAAGAGACATCTATGGAACATTCCATCCAAACATAAAAGAATATATCTTCTTTTCAGCACTTTATGGAAACTTCTCAAAAACTGACAACATACTGAGTAACAAAGCAAATCTCAACAGATTAAAAAAAATGGAATAACCCCATGTATCTTACTGGATCACCATTGTAGTAAGAGGGGCTGCTTGTTGGTCCCCAGCTGCTCGGATCCCCGAAATAATCACACGGAAATCGTATTAATTACATCACTGCTTTGTCCATTAGCTCTAGCTTCTTATTGGCTAACTCTTACATATTAATTTAACCCATTTCTATTAGTTTGTGTATTGTCATGTGACAGTGGCTTACTGGTAAA